TGTCTTTCTCTGATTGACTTATTTCGCTTAGCATAATACTTTCTAGTTCCATCCACGTTATTGCTAATGGCAAGATTTCAGGGGTTTTTTTGATGGCTGCATAATATTCCATTGTATATATATACCACATCTTCTTTATCCATTCATCTGTTGATGAACATCTTGGCTCTTTCCACATTACAGTAGTTTGGCTATTGTGGACATTGCTGCTATAAACATTGGGGTGCACGTAGGGTAAACCTCATTCTATTTTATGTGAAAAGTTAGTTGTTCAACACCATTTGCTGAAGGGCCTGTTCTTTCCCACATTGAATGGTCTTGGCACCCTTGTTCAAAAGTCAGTTGGCTATAAATATGTGAGTTTACTTCTGGACTCTCAGTTCTATTACATTGGTTTATATGTCTATCCGTATGCCAAAACCGTATTAATCATTTACTGTAGCTTGGTAGTAATTCTGAAACCAGGAAGCATAAGTCCTCTGAATTTATTCTTTTTTTTCAACATTGTTTGACTATTTGGATCCCCTTGGAATCTCATCTGGATCTGAGGTTCAGCTTTTTTTTTTTTTTTTTTGAAGTAGCAGACACTTCTTGACTTTATAGACTGGTTTTGGCAGGTAAATACCTTCTCCTCCTGACTATGTAGACTGTTAGGACTGCCTCCAAGATCATGGTTGGGTGAGGCTGGAGCTGGGTCATGTGGCTGCTGTGTGTTCCATGATCAGGCGCAGTCAGTGGGCCTTTTACTGGTGGTATGGGTTGGTGTGGTTCCTGCCAGGCCCCTGGACTGGCAAGACTGCTCTGAACCTTGGTGTGCAGGGTCACAGGTCCACTTCAAGGTCCTCGGTAAGGTCTGAGATCAGTGTGTCTGTAATCAAGGTCACCAATGAGCATGGCACTTCCTGGGTCCCTTGGTGGATGGGGCTGTGTCAGAGTCACAGAAAAGTTAGGTTGGAACTGGATCGGCAGGGGGCAGGTTCCTTTCAGGTCTACAGCTAAGACCACAATCAGTGGGCCTGGTACTAGAGTGCTTCTCAAGGCTACCCTTCTCAGTCTTAGCTCTACTGAGCTTTTGAAACCTCTGACCTGAATCCCAAGGTTCGCACAAAAGCATTTTTGTGTGTGAATGACTGCTAAATCATTGTTTCAATATGAGGATAAGGCTGGGGACCTCCTATTCTGCCCTCTTGCTGACATCATTACCTTCTTTTTCCTCTTTTAATGTAGGTATTTATAGCTACAAAGCTATAAGCATTGTATTCACTACATCCCATAAATTTTATGTTGAATTTTTTATTTAATTGATCTCTGAGTATTTTCTAATCCCCTTTGTGATTTCTTCTTTGACCCATTCGTTGTCTGTAAGTGTGCTGTTTAATTTCCATGAATTCGAATTTTCCAGTTTTGCTTCTGCTATTGATTTCTAGTTTCACTCTACTTTAATCAGAGAAAATGTTTTATATAATTTTGATCTTTTGAACCCTATTGATTCCTGGTTTTGAGCCTTATAATGCAGTCTGGTCTAAATAACGTTCCACATACGCTCGAAAAGCATGTATATTCTACTGTTGTCAGAGAGAGAGTTCAGCAAATGTCTGTCAGCCATGCTAGTTTATGCTCAAGTCCTCTATCTCCTTACTGTTCTTCTTTCTATATGTTTACTCCATTATTAAATTTGAGGGACTGACTATGGAAAACAGTATGGACGTGCCTCAAAAAGCTGAAAATAGGGTGCCTGGGTGGCTCAGTTGTTAAGCGTCTGCCTTCGGCTCAGGTCATGATCCCAGGATCCTGGGATCAAGCC